TGTAGGTACTGGATTTTATTCAGCCAGCTAGGAAAAGAAAAAAAAAAAAGAAAAGAAAACCTTGTTACAAAATCCCTATGTCATAACCGATATCAGATAATTCAAAATTGATAGCTATTGAGAAAATCATTGAGTTTAAATAGATATGTATGTTATACCATATCTGAAAGAAAAGACAACAGCTGCTTCTTGAATAAAGGGAATGTAAGTAAAGAAGGAAAGAGTGTGACACAGTTCATTTATGAAGGAGAGAGAGAGAGAAATAGGCAGTTGATAATCCATGCAACACAGAGAGCTTGTTGGAGAATAAGAGAGACTGTACTGTATCAGAAAGCCAATATCTTTACCACATTCACCACTTTCTTTTCAGTACAGTTACAAATACTAACAGGCTCCTGCCATTGCTCATCAAGGAAAACGACTGAGACTATTTGTTAAACAGAAGGGAAGAAGAGCTCTTTTAGATTAAATCCAAAGTAAAGTCAAAACTAGAGACCTCCTCTTTGAGAATGCTCTGTCTTAAAGGTAGACAGTTTGTGTTTAACACAGTACTGAAAAAAAAAATGAACTAAGCAACTGCTTTCCAAACCAATTCATACACCCTAATTTTCAATTACAAGTGAATGGGAAGACAGTCCAACACTGAAACTGTCTCAGTATCAAAGTCAGCAATGCAGATTGACCCCCCTGCACACTGCATGAGCTGCAAATTCTTCAGCAGTAGCTAAAAATCCAAGAAAGACCAAACAACCTTGAGAATGCTGAGGTTGTTTTGACAAGACTTCCCAGGGCACATCCCCATGTTAGCCTTAGCAGAACATCAGCTCCTCCTGCAAAATGGACATGAGACAGCCCTTGTCTGGACAGCATACTGACATAGCACCGTGCCTGGACTAACAAAACTGTAACAAGACAGGGGACAATATTATGGGCATGACGATTGTATGGCTTCCGGGCAGTTTTGAGTCTTGCCAGACTGGAACACTGGCACAAGTGACTAGGTCTGACTGCAACTATTCATGCATACATACCCTCAGCAGCCCCTCCAGCAACTCTAGCAATTTTTTCTCCAACAAAAGAAAAGCAGCAGAAAAGCTTCTCTGCAGTATAAATTAATTAAATTCAGTGTCATTAACACAGTTTGTTATAGCAAAGAATTGAGTGAGACAGTATCACAACCCAAGTATCCTGAAGAGCACAGAATGTTGCAAAGCTTTAAACATCTAAAATCCATTCTCTACACAAAAGATATCCAAATATCAAGCAATTCAGATATTTCCTGAGTACAACTGTTTAAAAAGTACTGTCTTGCCTATGTGGAAAAAAAAGAAAAAAAAAAAAAAAGAAAGAAAAAAAAAAAGATTTTGAATAGGTTTCAGTGCTTGAAGTTTTTTTTGTTTTTGTTTTTTGTTTTTTGGGTTTTTTTTTTAGCATTTTTGGAGCAGGGTGTTAAAAAGCAGCAAATGGATATCAGCAGAATGCTGCCAGTAGATATTCTACAATCTCAACCATTAATGCTCAATTTTTTTTTTTTTTTCGATTTCTACAACTTATCAGCCTAAATATATATCATCCTCACTGCAAAATGAACAAGTAGAACAGAGTTGCTCCTGGGCTCTGGTAATCATTTTTATTTGAAGACAAATGTTTTAAAGAAAGTAATTATCGGGAATTTTCTTTAGAATAACGCGAACAAAAGGAAGAAAATAAATTTCAGAAAACAAACATTTCCCTTATGTATGCGCTACTTGGCGACTGAAGATCAGAACCCTCTTGTGGACAGAATACATTTCAGCTGGATGAAAGAGAAGGAAGAGTCTTCACGGATCTGCTTTTAAGTAGTGGTAAGCTTGGTGTTTTGAGATAGGTATGCACAAATAGAAGGGAAACAAAACATAATCCTGTATGTCAACATAAAATGTCTAATGGCAAATTAGAGAATGCAAACAGTTTTTTCAAGCAATACAGCAGTTGAGGAATATACAAAGACACATTGTTAAAGCCATACTCCTTTAAAATCATCGGTCTTTGAGCCTTCAGACACTGTTCTTTAAATGAAAACAGATTCACCTCACTTGTAAACTGGGACTTTTCCCATTACAGAGCCCTGTATTTAATTTGATCTTCTCTAGCAAGAGGCTTATGTATCAGCCTTAGTTAATTGTATCCTAAAATTTATGCATATCACTCACAGACAGAAGCCAATTTAATTTGCTACAACTGCTTTTCAACAAGGGTAAACACTGCAATGATAGTTGGCAGACATTAACTTCTCTAGAGATCAGTATCACAACATATTGATCTAAGAAGTTAATACTGACAGAGAAGAAAACTTTCTGTGGATATTACCGCTGTAGAGCAAATAAATCTTTATAATAACAAAAGAAAAGTCAACCTGTGTACTTTATAGCTTTTTCTAAGGAGTAGTAGATGAATATTGATGTTACTTCTGGGGTGATAGTTTTAGTTGTATCATGAGTTACGCCACAACTTTATAATCTAGAAGCTGAGTACAACTGAGAACTGAAATAAGTGCAGTCAGCAAGCTCAGCAGTGACATTTTGATATACTGAAGGTAATCAAAGGCCTGTAAATGGATTCATTAATGGATCTGCACAGTATCTTTATGAAATATTGTGCTTAAATATTATCATCCTGTTCTATCAAGAACAGTGATAAAAAGAAGGTGAAGCGGTTTGCTTAAAGCTAGACAAGGCTGTTAAAAACAAACACGGGAATCAGGAATTCACAAGTCCAAGAGCTCTAGTTATTCATCCAGAGCACGCGTTGCTCCCCCCTATGCTTTTGGACTGCAGTGGTATCTGCCCTTTCCAAGTTACTTAACATCATTAAGAGCTTTTACTGATACGTACACTTAATGGAAATAAAATTACTACAAACAAAATCAGTTTTGGTAAGAAAAAGCATCAGGCACATGAAATAAGCTTTCAACTTTCATCCTCCTCCATGTTTGATGGATTTTCCCCCACACTTCCCATCTCACTCAACGACAAAGAATGGAAGCGCTTACTTAAAATGTGTCTAAGTTTACTTCCTATCATATTTGAATACCATGTGGGCGGTTGCTTGTAATTGTATTTCACATGTCTTTTGTTAGTAGGTATAGTCAATTATTCTAACTGATTACTACCACTTGCAGTTATCAACTGAGGTATTTGACTGCTGTTTTCAGATGTTTGGCTGGCACATTGCCTACCAGTGTACATAGCTGCTCCCATAGCTCTGTATGGGTCTTGTGTCTGTCCTGTGTTATCTTAGTTTCCATAGCAAGGGAGAACCATAAATGACAGCTGATACCACTTTTTGCAACTTTTTTGTACCAGGAAGTGAGGCATAGGGAAACAAACAAGCTCTTAGTGGTTCAACCATCAACCAGCATTTCGGATACAGGCAGATAGATTAGGAACAGTTTGTCTTACCACCTAGGCAAAGCTAATCAACTGAGCTGTGAAATGTTAGT